GGCTGGAATTGAAATACAAACCTGTACTTACAACTACGTTTTTCTCGAAAACAGTGAACTTTTTTCTGTTACACACTGTAGATGTATCGCAATAGTATATAGGCCAGGAGTTAACCCTCACATTAAAGTAAATACGAATACGTACTAATTGTATTAAAAATTGAAATAATTAATTCATTCGGTGTAAAATTTATATTACTTGATTTAATAGTAAATGCCAGTAATAATTCGATGATAAAAGATATTGAACCTTTTTATTAGCGAATGTAATATTATAATAGTAATTTGACTTATTATAGCATTAATTATCGTTTGCTTTCGTAATTTCCTTTTTTTCTGTCAGAAAAATAATTGCGGGCTACAATAGAGAGAAATTTCAAAGTCCACTCAATGAACGTCGAAATTTGATTAAAAAGGGCATTAATCATTAACTCTGCCGTACATATTTACCTTGAACGGGGCTGGGTCGGTAAGTGTCATTAGTGTTTTGAATCGGTGGTTGCTCGCTTTGTGTTGGCACAAAGTAAACTGGAAACAATCCGGCAAATCCGCTATTGTTTTTGACACCTTCGTTTCTGGTGAATGTGTAGGAATTGTTAACTGGGGTGACAGACAATGAGAAAGGCGGCCAGAGATTGGTATCGTTAATCTGGAATCAAAAGGACGAACCTAATTAGTCAATCAAAAATGAAATTGAATCGACCTGCGACAAAACCGGGCTTTATAGAAAAGAAATAAACGGATATTATTTTTTGTTTTCGATTTCGTAAAAATTTATTTTAATTGTATCCAAAGGGAGTCTACATACTGTTACGTACAAGCATGTATGTGACGAAATCGATATATCGATTACCTACGGCATAAACATCGCAGAAGTTCCAGACTTATTCCGGTGAATTCGATATAAAGTACATTATTTTTTATATAAAATTAAAATATAACTTAATGCTGTTGTATGTAGATAACCCCCTTCATTTGGATCATTATAATAAATCTCCATTTTTTTAGTTTCCCCAAAAATTAGTACATATGTATGTACGTACCTGTGGCATATAATAATTTTCTTCTCTCAGTGTGTCTTGAGGGGTTCGTAAATTATTAAAATTGTTATTATCTCCAGTCCCAGTTTCGCCTTTAGCCGGGTTAAGATTTATTTGATGTTTATGCTTAGTAATTTTATGATGGTCACCCTCCCAAGACCTTGATCCACTTCTCTTTACTCCATGAGGATGGTTGACGCAGTTTGGCTAAAAATGAAGAAAAGCCAATTTACTAACACGTCCAATAAAAGGGTCCTAAAGAAAAACAACTTACATTTCTATCATTCTTCTCAACGGCGTTTGATACCATTTGTGTTTTCTTATTGTTCTTATACAATTTCCCGTCCTTTTCTTTAACAGTTGATCGATATTCTCGGTACCTTTTCCTCATTATCTTTTCCATTTCTTTATTGTGCCTAAAGTTAATATGAGAAACATGCAAATAAAAAATGTACGGACAAATAGTTGAAGTATTATTTATAGTTAGGGATTGAATTACATCAGTATCTATTAATAAGCAATAAACGACAGAAATGTCCAAACTTTACTAAATGTAACAATGGAAATTCATACTTTACGTAAAGATTCTCATTCTCATTCGTTGTGTAATGAAACTGAAAATACTTGGTTTTGTAATCAATTAATTTCTACAGATTATTTTGATATGCTGTATTATATGAGACTGATACACATTTTTGTTACGTAAATATTCCATCTAAATTTGTAATATTAACAGCATATATTTTCTTTCGTGTATGATAAAATAATTCCAATGATAATTAATGTAATTCGGAAGGGATTTTATCCATTTTAGTCACACAAGATAATATTTTTTGATCTAATGAACAAATTTATCAAATGCTTATGTACATTCTTACAGTCCTTTAAATACAATTATTCTATGTTCTGCCAACTCTTGGAAACTAAAAGAAATAACAAAAATTTGAAATTATTTTTTTTTTTTTTGATGAAACAATTACTTGCTAAAGTAGTAAGCAATAGCTTCTCGCTGCAATTTTTGTAGTGAATAATTATCGTTTCGTAGCTTATATTTTACATTCTTGAGAAAAAAAAGAAAAACATGACCGTGGCAAGAGTCACTCACTTCGTTTGTGTTGCCTTTTCCTATTGCAACCTTACAATCCTAGCCTAATCAAACATTAGCCGAAGAATGGTTTTATTTTTAAATTTACGTTAGGCACAGTTTAACGTCAAGGTGCGAAACAAGAATAAAATTGGTCAAAAAGGGTACGCAATATTTAATTGAGTTGCGAAATTAAAAAGCTTAATTACAAATGGGCAAAGGGTTGATTATTAGACACTGTATAGTTTAGTCTGTTTCAGCTCTGTGAGCAGTTTATTCATTGTACCTATGTAGTGTACCATTTATTTAATTAGATTTCACTCACTTTGATAGAAGTGCTTCGGTAAGATGCGGTGAATTGTAAGAATCATTCGATCCATTACCACTAGTACCGACAGTTTCCATATTAACGTTGCTAGCTGAACTTAAATTTCCACTTCCACTTCTGCTTTCTCTGTTCTGAATTGGACTGTAACTCTTTCCAATACTACCCCTATGAAAAATACGAACAAAAGTTCGAAAAATGTGTGACGGGATCGTGATAAGTAACGATAAAATTGATTATATTAGTTAATTTTATCCATTATTTTCGTAAAAATATCTGTTTAGTTAATTCTTCAGCATTTCGATCAAACTTCCACCGAATTCAAAATTTTTGTCAGAAATATTTATCCATCCAACTCAACACGTTTAATGTTACTTTATAAACAACATAATTACTTAGTTGACAATTAAAATACCAGAACCAAACATCCACGAATAGTAACATACTTGACTAAATTGACATTTTATCTTATTAAGTACTATAATAATTATTTAGATAATAATTATTTTATTACCATANATATGACGACTAAATTGCTTGCCGTATATGAAAATTTATTAACATATTATTTTAAATATTATCTATACATATAATTAATAGAAATTTGAAAGTAGTATTTAGGTGTGTAGGTTGCAGGTACATATATCATATATCAATACATGATTTTACAAAATCTAAACTCTACAAATATCACAAATTTATTTGTAGGTCAGCAATTCTCAATGTGTGAGGCGCCCTTCTTATGGGAGGGAGATGATAAAGCTAAATGGGGTGCGCGAACATATCGAGAAAAAATAAAATGTTTATTTCATTTACTGAAATAAAATATCAATATATTTACCCATTTGTAGTAATTTGTTATCAAGCTAGAAGTAAAGATTTAGCACCAAAATAAAAGAAACTAATATTACAATTACAGTACGATTTCACTGAAACTTGTTTTAGAAGATAAAACGGGGAGAGCTATGAAAATTGTGGTTGAAAATTGGGTCAGAAATACTAGAAGGTACTACACTGATTCTGTTTAATTTTCATTAATACGAGTACTTTACGGTAATAATCATTAACTTTTGTTTGGCGATTTAAAACAATAATTAAAAATTGAATTAGGAATTCTGCTTCCACTTGAAACATTGTAGGTACTTGTTGATTTTACCTGGACCATATATTTAAACGATAAACAAAAAAGAAACGAATCGAAATGAAAGAGAAACCGTATTAACCGTATTTCTTGAAGGCCGGATAGGGACTTGAATGATAAAATGAATCGCTTTTTCCGAAACGCCAACATTCTGATATCGTTCCGTGTATTGGAGTTCCGCAATTTCTTTCCATTTCACGCTTCAATAAAATTTTCTAAAAGTCCCTTTAGAAAATGATATGTAATTTATGAGGTCCGAACCTATGCTTCATCGGAATGGTCGAGAACGCGAAGAAATCGTCGACGGATCGGGGTTGGGAGTCCGGCTTTCGCTGGTCGACCTGACCCAGCCGACCGAGATCGATTTGAAAGAAAGGATGAGAAACAAACGCCTAGTCCGTCGGGGAATTTCAGAAGTCACCGAGAACCGACTACGCCATAAAGGAATAAATGTACTTAAGCTACAGGCGAAAGATCAAAGGCTATCACATCTTTTCTAAAGATTCTCAACTAGGCACGCACAACTTTCGTTATAGAGAACGATGAGAAAAATGTACTTTACCAATTTTAGGAACAATTTCATGAGATAATAACTAAAAAGTTGTTTAAATTCTTGCAATAAATTTTTTATATATAATAAAGTAAAATACATTTACTACTCTTTACACTTTGTGTAAAAAACTAATTTTTGTTATCATTTTTCGTTGTAACATGTTATCAAGCAACCGAATAAAAATATTTACAATAAACTGAAAGGTGTTTGTAAAATATTTTCCTGTTTATCTCTATACACAGAATCGACGTAAAAGAACTTATTTCACTTAAGACTGGCGTACTGATGAGGTCAAATAAAATCGAAGACGCGATCCACTTTTGCTAATTTCTACAAAAATGAATTCTTACTTGTTTAAATTTTGAAAATAATATTGAATAGATTCTACCTATACTTGATAAAAATCCATATCAATCAATAAAATAATGCAACAAGATTTTCACAAGATTGGCGAAACAATTGTTACTGGTGAAATAAAAGTTTGTAAAAATCATGTCTCATCAAATATTTAGAAGAAAACATTAATATTGGTTTAATAACAACTCAAGAAGAATATAGGAAAAGAAGGTCTTATTCATTAAAAAATTAACTGCATATACCGAATGTGATAATAAAATTTAAAGAAATTTGTCTTACATGATTAAGTAGCCTCAAAATTTCTTCCCTCACAATATCGCCCTTCTTCAGGATCTCTTCTGAAACGCTGTTTATCTCTTTTTCTTTACAAACGCCGAAAACGTCTGGATTACTGGGTCCCTATAAAATTTGTTTCAAATTTTTAAAATTAAAAACATATACTTTGGGTTTTGTAAAATCTAAAAGTAGTTTAAGGTCAACAGTCACGATAAACGTACTGATAGAGGGAACATATGATAAATTTAAATAGGTTTAACATTTACCCGATTTGATATTTACATTTTATCGAAATGACCTCTTTTTAGCCACTATATTAATAAAGTAAAATGTGATACGTTTGTTGTGGTAAAGTCAACATTAATTCAAACTGGTTTTAACCCTTCAAATTAATTTCTGTCTCAAATATATTTAAATAATTTAGGTGAATTTTATACGTTTTTCTTGCCTATAACAAAACAGCACGCTGACTGATCGAAAAAATATGATGCGCTATATTGTAAGTACGTACTTAAAAACGTCAAGTTGGTTCTTGCTTGTTCTCTAAAATGAACCACACTGAAGTGTGTGTAAAAACTTATAATTTTGAAAAAAATTATTTGTCAACATAATTTATCATATTTTTTCCTGACAATGCCATATTATTTTCAGACAAATGCAGCCACAGTAAATGTATAAAGTTCATCGATATTTTTCTAGTAGAATTCTCCTTTAATATTTTTTCAATACAAAGTAGCTAAAAGGGGTGAAATATTCATTGTTTGTTAATTGTTAATCTCCAACCAACGTTTCGCTTTTTTGGTCCAAACATTATCAAGAAGCAAATAGGCGAAACGTCGGTTGGAGATTACGTAACAAATAAATAACATTTCACTCTTCTCGACTGCTTCTTTTTGAAAAAATATTACTATCATCATTGGGGAATATAGTACAAAGGACGAATTCTTTCTTATTTTTTAGGGCGGAAATGAGAGCTGACTGATACTTGTCCTGAATGGGTCCTTCAAATGTTATAATAAAAGAATAAAGTACGAGACGATCTTTATAAATCAATATCTACGAATCTCTTGCTTTTAGTGATATTAATTAACCCTTTTGTGCTTGTAATATCTACTACTTGAGTGTTAGTTATCACCTTTAAGATGTTATGCATTCCTATAACGATTTCTAATTTTCTAGACCATGGGTTGAAAAAGCACGACCAGTCAGTCTCAATGGTAGCAAAACCACCGTTTTGGACTGCAAATCTGTAAGGTTTACTTCTATAAACGGCACCGGCGATCTGGCATTGGCTTAAAGCTAAAATGAAACTCTTCTGTAATAAATAGAAACTGAAAATTGTAACATTTATTATTCACCTGCTTCGTAAACCTCCTTAAGTAGTGGCATGTCCTCAGGATGATAAAAATCGAAAACGGAACGTCCTAGAATGTCCTGAGGCATAAACCCGAAATTTTTAACGATATCTGAATCCACGTATGTTACTGTACTAGCCGCGGTATGATGCATGTTGAATTTAGGAAGATTTTTCTCCTCGTTGGGTGCTACAAAATAACACAAGAATATATATGTACTGCTTATGAACAAACCTTTCAAGATTATAAGCCCCTCAGAGCAAATTCGTTTTATTTTTTTTTTTTTGCTAACGAATAATGAAACATTGTTTCTCAAAATTCTTTAAATTCATCTTATGTGAAATAAACTTAGTTCATTCATTATCCTTAAACAAGATTATCCATCATGTTTCAGAGTAAATGTAAAGTACAGTCGATTAATTTTGTTAGATTAAGGTTGATCTCCATTTATTATCATTTAATAGAGGAGTTTACAGACTCTTCAAACTTTGAACAACAATATTATCTTACAAGTTCTAGGACATTTAAATCAGAAATATTAGACAAGATGTAAATCAATTGTGTATGATGACGTTAAGTGTTTAGGTCAGGAATACACATATTTGTGATTGTATTAGTGTCAAAGCTCGAGGTGAATCTAATCGTAAAATTCTGAAATGTATATTATTTTAATTGAATAAAAATTAGTGGAATACCACCACAACGATATCTAGTTTATATAAATATATATATAAAAAAGTATGGTAAAGGTCTAGATGAGGAGGTCTCCCCCACCACTTTACCATAAAAAGTTCGTGGCGGTCTCACCCCCATAAAAAGTTATGGGGGTTAGATG